GGGGGGTCCCGGACGTCCAATCAGGTAACCTAAAAAAACTGTTTTTTCAGAAAACCACTGCGCAATTTGGCAAAGTGCACTTTTGACTTTGTCCACGTTTTCATGATTCAGAAGTGCTTGCTTTCCGTAAAGAGTGGCTGGGGTGGGATCAAGGGGGATGGGTGGCAGGGTAGGTTTGAAAGGGGGAATAGGGCTAGGACTAGGGAGAGGTGATCAGGAATTACCACCTCTTTCATGGTTGAACAACCATTGGCGCTTCTAGCCCCCTACTACCCCTCTCTGATTTCCCAGGCCCCTTTCCCCCCTCAGGGCCTCAGCCCCCTCTCTGGGCCCTCTGGCAGAACTGCCAAGATATGATGAATGCTCTTCCTATGGAAACATATCAAGACTGCAGAATGCTAGCTAGGCATGGGACATAGCACGGATGCTCTGCTCAGGCACCCGATGGATGGATGAAGAGGCAAATCCTGCAGTTTGTCATTCCTATCACACAACAAGGCGAAGCCGGCCCTTAGCCGGAAAATGTCCCCAGTATCCCGTCACAAGGCGACTTCAAAAAAAAAAAGAAAAAGGCTGTCAGAATGTACCAACACAATTCATACAGTCAATGAATGGCTGATACCATTCTGGAGGCAATTACAGAGAAAGGTATTAAATCTTAGAACTCCGATTGACCACAACTGTTCTCACCACCCTTAAGGGCGTCGCCACGAAACGAAAAACGAAACGAGTGCATCTTCCTGCGGAAAATGGCCAGGTTCATCGGTTTACTATAAATAGTAACGAGTGTATTCTGCCACCTTTCGTGGGCAGAAGCACTCGTTTCGTTTTCGGTTTACTATAAATATTAAATAGTAACGAGTGTATTTTGCCACCTTCCGTGGGCAGATGCACTCGTTTCATTTTCGTTTCGTGTGCCGTGCGGCGAGACCCTTACGAACGATGCATTTTGCATATTCTATGCTGGCGTATAAAACATTCAAAACTCTAGAGTTTAATATCGAAGCATCATCAATGTCAGCCCCTGAAATACTTGCCCGTCCAACTGAAGAGCATGTACAGGAGGGTGTGCCACCCCCTTCTACTTCCTTTGATGCTAGAGACCACTACGGAGACTCAAACTTCCCATTCTTTCTGTTGAGGCTGCGACTGATACTAGAATTCACACCACAAGGCACAATTTGCAGTCCAACAACAAGCTGCAGTCAATTTCCAGTTCGACAAATTAAATCAGAGTTTAATGGATAACACTGCTGCACCAAACAGCGGGATGATGAAAATCTGCCTTTCGAAATTCCAGGAATACACACCTAATGTCACTATACTACTATAGGACTTCACAAAAGCGTTCGCTCGAATAGCTTACACGAACATAATTAATGATGAAACAGGGACTGTGAAAAAAATGTCATAACTTAAAAGGAATGACCACCCTCTGAGCTCTTCCAATTAGACGAAAACATTAAGAGTGTACCAAACGTATTTCAAAAACCACTATTAACAGACCATCGTCACATAGTAAAAGCATAGTACTCCCTTGTTTCATCCTCGAGAGGAAAGCCGTACTGATACTGCAACTGTCAACGAGAGCAGAGATCAGAAAAAAAAAAGAGAGGAGAGATCAGGAGAGGGGTAAAGGTCTCCGCTAGCTTCTAGTTGGGAGCCTCACTCTACTAGTCCCTACTCAGCAAACATGTCTGCCTACATTTCAACCTGCATCAACCTAACCTACTACTGACTACATTCCGCTAGTATCTCTGCTCGACGTTCCATTCATGGAAAGTAATTTAATTCAACAAAAGCTCAAGCTCAGGCTTCACCAGTGATATCTCAGTAACGATCTGTTCGAGTGTCTCGCGACCATCCCATGACCGCAGAAGTACCCTTCGAACTTGGATCTCACGGGGCACCCATGGTATGGTCACATGGTGCAATGAATGAATAAATAACACCAAGCCCGCATCTGAATCCTTTCAGGTGGCTCAAATGAAAGTGAAGCCTGTTCCAAACTGGATGTGTACGGTAATGAGCACTGTGACTCTGCGAGTCCTATTCAGCCAGGGATTGTGTGCAGCACGAGGACCGAATGATGACGAATTACCTACAATTTGCGGCAAACCCTGCCGAATACTCGGATCTCACGGGGCATCTATTGTGTGTTCGCATGGTCCTCACCAGTCGAGTTCTGCATCGGAGTTTGGTCGTGTGTGTGAGTGTTTACTCTCTCTCCCCCTTCCTCCTCCTCCTGGAACCCAGTGCTCTTCACACTACCGACACTGCAACTGTGAACGAGAGGAGAGATCAGGGGAGTCAGGACTCAGGGGTACAACTCTCCACTAGCTTCTTGTTGAAGGCCTCCCTCTACTAGACTACTAGTCCCTACTCAGCAAATATGTCCTCCTAAATTTCCAACCGCATCAACCTCCTACTGACAACATTCCTCCCTCTGTGCTTGAGGTTCCATTCATAGAAAGCACTTAAGGCAACCAAACTCAGGTCTGAGGTTTCACCAGTGATATCTCACCCTGAGTCACCCATGATCTGGACGAGTGTCTCCCCACCATCCCATGACTGCAGAAGTACCCTTTGAACTCGGATCTCGTAGGGCACCGATTATGTGGTGACTGTGGTCACACGGTGCAACGAATGAATAAATAACATCAAGCCCGCATCCGAATCCTTTCAGGCGGCTCTAATGAAAGTGAAGCCTGTTCCAAACTGAACGTGTTGGGTAATGAGCACTGCACATCTGATTCAGCCATGTCTGCAGCACGAGGAACAAACGATGACGAATTAGCGACAAACCCTGCCGAATACTCTCTTGACGTGGCTCATCCAGTGTGAAGACAAGGCAAAACACAGAGGGAAGGGTCTGCGCCACACCATAGGTGCTGCGGCCCCACACGTTCCGCTGGTTCTCAAGACAAAAGGTCCAAGGGTGTGAGCCTGAGCTCGCCAGAATTGGTGACATCCAGATTCCAGACACTAGATGTGGGCCTGGACTGGTCACACACACGTATCCTTGCAGGCAGAGTTTCCTTTGCAAGGCTTCCCGCAGGAAGGTTTCCTGTCACACTCTCTCCGGGAGACACCTCAGTCGTCTCTCTTACTTCCCTCAGCTCCCTGTGTACATCCCCCCGCAGTTGCAGCAAAGCTTGTTCCCAAGCCCTGGCAGGTCCCTGCAAGCAAACAATTGCCAAGGCGAAAGCGGGAGACCATCATTTGCAGGTTCAGAAAAGTGCGACGGAATTTCCCGTGGGCTTGAAAAAATAATACATAGATGAGCATCACAATCATTCTCTTGCATCATCATCACCATCATCATCACCGTCACCATCATGGTCATCATTTAGCATAAGCATCCATCAGTTCTCTTTATTGGGAAAAGTCATAAGACCTCCCCGCTGCGAAACGCCGAAAGCTTTGCATTCATTTCACCCCAAACGGAGCAAAAGGTGTTGCAGGCCCCAAAATGAATTTTCCTGCCATTTTTGCACCCTGGCCGGGCCGGTAACGCCTGCTCTGCAAAAATGGCGGGGAACTGTTTTACTGGTGCAAAAGGGACACCGAACTTGACCAAAGGCCATTTTGGGGCCCGCAGCACTGTTTGCCCCGTTTGGGGTGATATGAATACACAGGTTTCGCCGCGGGGAAGTTTTAGAACTGCACCCTTCTTTATTACTCATCATGCGTCGTCTTTCCTCATCATGACTGCCATGATGATGATGATCATCATCATCATCATCATTATCATCATCATCATCATCATCATTTATCATCATCACCATCATCGCCATCATCTTCATCTTCATCGTCATCATCATCATCATCATCAGCAGCAGCAGCAGCAGCAGCAGCAGCACCATCTATCTGTCACCCTCACGTTAGGAAGTATTACTACTGACCAGGACACAGGTTCCCTTTTTATTATTACTAGATATAGCTTTGGTTCCGCACCCCACCTTATGGCCGCAACATCACAGTCGCCCTCTGGTTATTGTAGCTTCTTACCACCTATTACGTAGTATTAACCACAGCATTTAGGGGAAACATCCGGGCAATGGAAGCTGCAACTTGTGTGCGCAGAACCCCCTTGTACCCGATAACTCATGCATGAATAGACTCAATACTAAATGCCGTGCAAGGTACAGCTGTTTTACTTTTGGTGTCAGCAGTGTGGGAAAAATAGGTCCTGGATGGATGGTCACCTCTGTTCTGCTGCACCCACCTTCCAGGACAGATCCTGTGACATAGCGGCCGTGACCATGGTTCTGAAGAGAGAGTGTGTCGAAAACACCCKCATCGCTCGCTTTAGTCCCTCTACAACCTTCATCACGTCCTCCCGTCGCACTTCGGGCTGTGATCCACTCAACGGGTCAACCAGGTAACAGCAAACACACCAACACCGGTCAGGTCAGCAAGGTGAACCCACTAGAAAACTGCAAAGGACCCACTAGAAAACAACTGTCCCTACCAGACTTTTGAACACAGAAGAACCAAGCCTTGACCATCACGATAAAGATAACTTGTAGCCCCTGCCGTACTCGAGAGGTTTTTAAGGCATTTGGCTGTTGAGCCGGAGATAGTCAGTTCGATACCCTAGAGTGTGGATCCAATTTCAACCAATCCAACGACAGTACCGAATATTCCATGGGATGTGAAAGTTCTGCTCAGTCATCAAAGGTTCAAAGAGAAAGTCAACACACCTTGACGTTGAACGTCCCCATTTGCAAGCCAGTCACCCCATCACGGACCGAGTCCAGCAGACCGCCCGTCGATGCAACCACCGGGACCTGCGCAGCGCTCAATCCCCATCACAGACACACTTATTGTTTCAGTGCCCCGGATGGACAAACGTGCAAAAAAGCAGTCGCAGGTTGACAAAATCATGTACTTGTGCAGCCCCTGTAAATGACGGGTAAACAGCTGTAGCTGTTGGAACAGATCTCATATTCAAATGCTTACAGGATCTCGTGAACTTACTATTCGGAGGACATATGTCCCTGCTGGCGGGCCTACTGGTGGGACAACGCAGCAATGGTCCGGGAATCTGGGGAAAGAGTGGGAAAGGAGAACACTGCTGAGGGCATACTCGCACTCAAAACTTTTTCTACTCAGCTCTGGGTGTGATTGCGGTCAGAATCGTCCAAGCGTGGTAATAATGTCCGACCTTAGCCGTTAGATGCAGCTACAAAATAGTTTGATCATGCCCTCACGAAGGAAGGAAAATGAAGGGGAAAAGCAAGGGTCACTATGTCTTGGTCGCGCAATGGGGTAGCAGCCTACCTTGCCGTAGAGCATGGCGTGCAGCTGAACGAGTCCTGCAGGCTCGAAGCGGCTGGGCAGCACCATGAAGTCACACCCGGCAGTGATCAGGTGGGCCAGTCGGTGACTGAACCTCGTCACTGTCCGCACCTTTCCAGCAAACCTTGCCTCGAGAGCTTGCAGCTGCTTCTCGTACTGGGGTTTTCCCGTTCCCTGGTCAAACACAGGATCAGAACAACCCTGGTCAAACACAGGATCAGAACAAACAGCACACAATGCCCCAGAACAATGAGAAGCCGTGCCTATAGTCAATCTTTGACATCGACCGCTCGATTCGGCTCGAAATAATCCACATACACCACCGCCAACTGTGATCTGGTTAGTGCGATTCTCGACAAAAGAGAACTTAACAATACGCAGAACCAGCAAGACAGGGAGGGACGGACACTTAAATCAAACTGACATGATGAGACTCAGATTTGTCAAAAGTTGCAGTTCAAGACACTGACCAGCATGACGAACTGGAAATCCCGTTCCTTGTGCTGTTCCATAAGATCGAGGATCGCGGCAGCCAAGAGGTCTGACGCCTTTTGCTCGTCCAGTCGGCCCATGAAACCGAACAGCGGCACTTCAGGATGCACAGGCAGACCCGCTTCAACCTGCAACTGCTTCTTCAAGATGGGCTTCACCTCGAACACCTGCCACATGGCGGCCAAGGGGTCAATAGCTGTATGGGTGCAGGTTACACTTACCCCGATCATATAACAAAAAAAAGCAATTTTGTAATACAAAGAGAGACGCCTAAGCAAAGGCAAGGGCGAATGCAGAACCGAAATGTTAGATAAAGGGGCACGTGCGACACACACAAGAACAAAGCAGAGACGATCGGCAGAGAGTTTACCGTGTTGATGTCATATCTCATAGGGAGGAACTTGTCGATGACAGGACTCCACTCCGTCACATCTGCGCCGTTCATTATACCAAGCATTCCCTTCCTTGAAATCAGGTCTTGAAGGCCCGCACCGCGCTCTTGATCTGTCGAAACCTCAGCTGCATACGTGGGACTGACCGCTAATAACATATCAGATTGCTCGAATCCTGCCTTCATCCAGCTCAGCAGCTGCTGCTGCCCAGCGGGCTTCCCACTGCTGTTGAGGCCCTCCAAGCGCACAGAACGGCCACACGTACAGACAACGGGAGGAACGAGTGCCAGAGAGTCCTCAAGGATGCAAGCCCGGCCGCACGTACCGGAACGCATCAAAGTTCCACAGAGAAAATGCAAAGAAAAGAAGTTACAGGAAAAAAGAGAGAGAGAGAGAGAGAGAGAGAGAGAGAGAGAGAGAGAGAGAGAGAGAGAGAGAGAAAGGAAAGAGAGAGAGAGAGAGTAGAAGGCACATCTTGCAAATCTAGGACTCCTGNAGAGAGAGAGAGAGAGAGAGAGAGAGAGAGAGAGAGAGAGAGAGAGAGAGAGAGAGAGAGAGAGAGAGAGAGCACTGTAGAAGGCACATCTTGCAAATCTAGGACTCCTGAACCAGCGTGTCTGTTGGCATGAATGCCTCTGTTTGATGGTTCGTACTCCGCACGGATTACTTCAGAAACCCAACAACTCGAAAGCAAGAAAAGTCCCCATTTTGGAACGAGGAGACGTCCAGAAGGCTTCATGCACGGTACATCTCACAACGCTAGAATTATTTTCTAACCACTGACGTGCGCTAGGATCGCTCATCTTCCTGCCGAGTCTGTGCCAACCATGCACGCCTTTGCTTATTCGTTCTACCGCATATGGCCTATAGGGATTTGCAGTCAATCCAAACGGGCAGCAGCCAAACAAGCACATCGTTCACGGGGAAAAGCGTTGGGACACACTTTTTGCCCCCAAGAATGATCCGCACGCACAATGCATGAATCTGCAGGGGCATGGGCATAGATCTCGGTATGCTCTCACCTGTTGGCCGGCTGCTGAAATGCTGATCGGAACTCTTCTGGGAGGTCTAGCGTGTTGTAGCTGAGCGTCTCTTCAAGAAACTGCCCTTGATAAGCCAGGTTGTGAACACACATTGCCACCTGCGACAGGCGGAGGCGGACGTGTCGGAATGAAACGAAAACAAAACAGTTAGATGAAAACAAGTTTCCATCATCTTTTATACAGAGTGAGTAATCTTTTCCCTTGCGGGAACAAGAGCGTCGGATGAAAAAGAGATAACAAGCCCAATAACACATATCACATCTCACAAAGCATCGAAAGACTCCCTGTTTTCTCGAGGCCCCCCCCCCCACCCATTCCTTAAATGTCCGGCCGCTGAGCTGATGCCCACATGCGGGCAAAAAACATGTCCGAGGTGGGGCCAATCTTCAGCGCCTTAGCAGTCCACTTCTGTCGCCGAGCACTTTCGCCGAGACTTCCCAGAGCGAGATGGGCGTCCACCGTCCACCACGTCCTCGACCACAGAATGAGTCTGATTGGGATATGATTGGAACACTGCATTTATGGTGCTCTTACGTCTACGCCTGAGGTCAGCTCAGCTGTTTAGTCCCATTATTTTACGCCATGTTTTCTGTGTGTTGTGCAAAAGATGTGGTAATGGCCGATGAGCGAATTGACATTCTTACCTTGGCGTTCGTGTACATCTCTCCGGCGTGGAACCTGCTCCTCAGGTACAAAGGAACGAGGGCGGCGTGCCAGTCGTTCACAACGAAAACCACATCCTCCCCTGCGGGTTCAACGTAACGAACATTGATTCAGAATCAGACGAGGAACGCAAGTGGTCCACAGCCGCAGACCCCATTTTCGGCCGTGAAGAGAATGCAAAACACGCATGGTAAGTAATCACTTCCTCGGCACTGTCATCAGCTTCCAGTCTCATTACATGATGGCACTGAATGAAGGGGGGGGGGGGGGGGGGGGGGGAAGAGAAACAAGGCAGCTAAATGCACAAGGGCATGCTTTGATGTATTTCACCTACTTTTTTGCTTGACCTGGGAGCGATTTCAGAGAAAGTTGCCGCCATTGCATCACACAAGGATGCAGGGAGAGAAGGAGATTCTTCCATGCAATAATCGGCATGCATGCAAGGTGTAGAAACCCACCACGCATTTGTTCTCTTATAGCACCCGCATGCCTTTGATGTATTTCACCTTCTTGTTGCCTGGGAGTGACCCTAAAGCATGTTCCCCCACAATAGCATCAAGTGCAATGATACAGTGCAAAGAGGAACCTATTAGGTGTGTCCTTCGGGACATCCATGGCGGCATGGGCCCTGTGCAGGGATGACACACAATAATCAAGAAACGGTCCAAAGTCATGAGGGAAAAAAAAGAAAGGAGTATTTTAGCTGCGAGCAAACTTACCATAGGGCGATGGTGCACCTGTGGCGTCCCCCAGATTGAGAAGTAATGGTGCCTGCAATGCAGCCTGCAAGAAGCAGAAACAACGAGGCGGACACGTTAATTCGAGCTGTAAATTAAAATGAGAACAACGTAAATTTGGTCGGATGCAACTTACGTGCTTCGGAGAGGGGTGGCAGGCGATGGAGGCAATGGGACAGCCAGGTGTACATACCAGAAATGGGCGTCTCTGCAAAAACATTCCGACGGGAGACAAGAGGGCGTCGGGCGATTGGCGAGGAAGATGGGGGGAAGGAGCCGCTCGTGAGGAACTGTAAGAGAAAGGCCATCAGGACTCAGGAGGCAAAAATGAAGGTGTCCAGACACCAGGGAGCAAGTTCTCAGCGATCGATCGAGATATAACGAATCACCAGCACAAGGGAGCAGAGTGGCAGGTGTGTGTGAGGKGAATTTAGTTCAACTTGGTACCTGGCAGAAGATGGCGAACCGCACAGGGTTCTCGGGGTACTCCGTGCCCACCCGCTCTCCGTAGATCTTCTGACCTCTCACGCCCCACACCTGCATTTCCATGACCATGGGATATTATTAGGTGTTAGGTTATTCACAGCGACCTCGCTGCTCTTCAGGATCAAACGCATCACATAGCCAATATAATTATACAGACATCCTCACGATGCAATGCATGATATGCAGTTGTTGCACCAAAGCACCAGCGACAAACGGTAGTCACGGCGGTATCCAAGACGGAGATTATCTTTATCTTTCTTTCGCTACGGACTCTATCACATGATCACGATGATTGGCCAATCCAAAAACACTAGCAGTAAGCAGACAGCGGAGTGCAGGCCCAGCACCTAGCTAGGCTTACCGTAAAGGTTGTTCCCTCCATTTTCAGAGGCCTATTTGTGACGAGTGTTTCCACCGTCGACTTACTTACGTTAGTATCACCTCCAAAAGACGACACTAACGTCTTTAGTATCACCTCCAAAAGTAGACCAACCAATGGGTGTTGAAAAAAGAAAATGGAAACACGAAAGGAAAGAATCCCCGCAGCCGTTTCTTTTTCCCAATTTTTTGCTCACACGTCCCTGTCTCACTTTCTGCCCCTGAATAGACCTGATGATTCACATATTGAATTTGTAATGAGGCGACCTCATTCACAACAACCATCTGAAGAACGATGTCATCCTGCCCTCACGACTATCACGGCCCTCGTCGTAACCCCGCGCTCTATTCGAACCAGGGGACACTGCAGCCATGGTTGTGGGAAGGAAGCAACGACAACAGTACCTTTTCAAGAAAAAGCGGATGATCGACGAACACCCGATCGACTCCTCGTTTGCGACCGTGGAAGAAGCGAACCGTCTCAGCCTTCCCTCCGAGAGTGACCTGTTCACATTCGACTCCCACACAACGTTGTAGTCAAAAGAACCACATACCAGCGCATGCGGCTTCTGCGCCATCTCCTCCTTCCCCCTGAGTCTTGAGTCTTGACCTTCCCCCTCCCGCCCAGCAATAAAAAAGTCAAAAGAAGAGTATCCACATGCCATGAGTTTGTCTGTTGGCGTTCATTCAGCTTACCAGGACAGTTTACAGTTTGCAACATCTACCTGTAACAGCTGAAAGGGAGACCCTTGTCACATCGGCAGACGGATGGCTATGGTTTCTTCCCGTTCCTCTGATTATCACCCCCTCCATGACCGCACCCCCCTTCGTGTCTCCCTTTGTCTCAGGCGCTGTTTACACTTGGAAAGCGTATATTAAGCCCTAGCTGGCATTATAACGTTCCTTACGCTGGTCATATCGACCTTGAAAGTGGATCGAAGTTCAATGCGGTTCGACTGACTGATAGGTAAGCCACGGAAACCACGATCGGATGCGGAGTGTGCACCTGTGAGGAGTCTCCGTTCGTAAGACTTCCCCCTCTACATCACCTTACATTCAAATTTCAAACGAAGTCAGAACAAAAGAAGGTGGAGAAAAGGACGGATGATAATAATAGCTACGAGGAAAAAGAAGCACGAGAAAGGGAGCCTCCGCGAGAAAAGCGAGAGACGAAACACACCAGAAAGAGATTAACAAACACACACACAGAGAGAGAG